CGCCAATTTAATGGCCAGTAACTCCCGGTTGCCGATGTCGTAATTCTGCTCCGCCGGGGACAGTTTCTTGGAGTAGAAGGCGCATGGATGGAGTTGAGATGGATTCCCCTGCCGCTAAGAGAGGACCGCTCCTACCCCCGAGATGGAGGCATCCACCTCGACGAGGAAGGGAACGGCGGGGTCCGGAAGGGCGAGGGTAGGAGCGGAGCCAAAGGCTGACTTCAGGGCTTGGAAGGCTTGGGTGGCTCAGGTGTTCCATGACAGAGACTTGGCCCCGCTCTTGAGAAGGTCGGTGAGTGGAGAACTGATGGGACTGAAGTTCTGGATGAAACGGCGGTAGAAGTTTGCAAATCCCAGAAAACGTTGAAGCTCCTTTCGGGTGGTGGGTTGTGGCCAGTGGAGTACCGCTTCCACCTTCCTCTGGTCCATGGTGATTCCGTGTGGGGTGATGACGTAACCGAGGAAGTGGATGGTGCTTTGGTGGAATTCGCACTTCTCCAGTTTGAGGTAAAGATGGTAATCTCGAAGGTGTTGGAGCACTGTCTGAACGTGGTGGATATGGGAGGCCAGATCGGGAGAGTAGATGAGGATATCGTCAATGTATATGACGACGAACTGATTGAGGAGATCGCGGAATATTTCATTCATGAAGCCTTGAAAGATGGCGGGTGAGTTGGACAATCCGAAGGGCATCACGAGATATTCGTAGTGCCCTGCGGGGGTGATAAAGGCGATCTTCCACTCATCTCCTTCCCGGATTCGGATGAGGTTGTAGGCACTACGAAGATCGAGCTTGGTGTAAACGGATGCCCCTCGGAGTTGTTCCAGGGCTGCTGGGACCAGAGGAAGAGGATAGCGGAATTTAACTGTGGCTTGGTTGAGGACACGGTAGTCGATGCAAGGGCGCAAGCCTCCATCCTTTTTGCCCACGAAGAAAAAACTCAAAGCGGCAGGGGACACTGATGGTCGAATGAATCCGTGATCGAGAGCCTCTTGGATGTACTCCTCCATGGCCTTCTGCTCCGGGATGGACAGAGGGTAGATCTTACCTCGCGGTAGGACCGCCCCAGGCAGCAGGTCGATCGCGCAGTCCCATGGCCGATGTGGGGGTAGAATGGTGGCGTGACGTTTATCGAAGACATCCTGGAACGCCCGGTAGGGAGAGGGGATCTCGGGAGAAGGTTCCACTGGTGGGCTCTCCACGGAGGTGGTGGAGAGTGGAACGGGCGGAGTGTTGGAAGGAACTGGGGTTTTCGTCACGGAGGATAGACAACGCTGGAAACAGTCATGACCCCACCGTAGAACCTCGCCAGTGGACCATTGAATATGAGGCGAATGGGTCTCCAACCAGGGGCGTCCCAGGATGATCTCAGTTGTCGAGCCCTCCAGCACCAGAAAGGATATCTCCTCCCGGTGGAGCCAGCCGATTTCCAACCCCAGGTCGGGGCTACGATGTCCCACCCGGCCGCGTCCTAGTGGTTGTCCCAGAATGGTTTGAACTTGAAGTTTATGAGGGATGGTTCGTTGCCTGGTTTGTAGCCGGTTTAACGTGGACAGGGTGATGAAGTTGGCCGCTGATCAGGAGTCGATCAGCGCCTGGACTGAAATGGAACGGTTCAGATAAGTGATAGTGGCCGCAGTGAATTTCAAGGAGGAGATGGGCAATGGTAACTGGACCGTACTCACAGCTGGCCGGGGAGGGCGGACGGGACAGGAGGCGAGCAGATGACCGGAGGCTCCACAGTACAGACACAGCCCGTTGGTGATGCGACGATTTCTCTCGGTCCCTGTCAGATGAGTGGTACCGACTTCCATGGGTTCTGGTGCTGGAGGACTGTGGTGGCGGGGCACCGGGCGAGGAGTTGGAGGTGCAGGGCTGTCGAGCTGGCATGCAGTGCGTCGCTGATCGATGCGAATGGATCGCTGGATGATGCTCTCAATACCGACGTTGTCGTCATACACCGCGAGCTGGAGGCGGATATCAGGATGTAGACCATGACGGTAGGCGGTGATGAGAGCAGACTCATTCCAACCGAGAATAGCGGCGAGGGTGCGGAATTGCAGCGCATATGAGGCGACGGACGATCTCCCTTGTCTCAGACGGTACAGCTGATCCTGGACGGAGATGGAGTGGGCTGACTGCGAGAACACCTCGGTGAAGTGGCCGGAGAAAGCGGTGAATGTCCGGGTAACTGGGCCACGATCTTTCCAGAGGGTGTGAGCCCAGTTGAGCGCTCAGCCTCGCAGAAGTGAGATGAAGAAGGCCACTTTCGATCGTTCAGTGGGGAAGGATAACAGGTTCATCTCCATATAGAGCTCGCACTGCAAGAGGAAGCCGCTGCACTCCTCCTCCTCGCCTGAGAAGGGCGCTGGTTGGGGCATGGGACTGGCAGAGGCAGATGCGGAAGAAGTGGTCACGGTGGATGTGGCGAGTGCTGGAGAGCTGGTCCGGGGAATGGTAGGAGTAGGTGGGTTCGGTGTAGCGCTGGTGCTCGGGGTAGATTGCTGCATTTTGCTGGTCTGGTCTTCTGTCACAGACTAGAAGGACACAGATGGATGAGTGTAAGACCAGGTTTATTGAGACAGGTGATATGGTAGACAGCTGGTAAGTATATAATGATAAAGTTCGGTGATGGAGCGGGAAACAGTCTGATAATCTATTTCTTATCTTGAGCAGGGCTGGAAGATGGAGAGCTGAGGCAGCGGACGGATGACCAGAGGAAGACCGGGGACCAGGAGCGGAAGAGAAGCAGACGGGACTGAAGTAAGCGGGTAAGTATTCCTTGAAGCAAGCAGCAGAGTAGCGGGAGTCTGTAGCCGATGTGTCGACGAGACCAGACGGTGAGTGACTGTGAGGAGTGAGTTTATAAAGGGAGGATGATTGGGACGGTGATTGAAGCGGGCAGGTGACAGTGATTAGAATGCTGGGGAGCTGGAACGAGTGGGCGGAGTGAAGGTGTCTGGTGCTGACGCAGATGGATCCGTGACACCGGCAGTGTTGGTTTTTCTTTTTGAATGACGAATATAGACTAACATATCTGCAGAAATAGACAGTTGGCTCATTACACGCAGGCGCAGAATGCACATTCTAGCTGACAGTCGCCTGTAGTTCTCTCGGTGTGTTCAAGTACAGCTTTTTACCCCGAAGAGAGTGGACGAGAGGCGAAAACACAGTCGACTTTCATCAGCACTAGTTCGTCTGCGTCGGCTTGGTGTGTTCCGGCTTAAGGTGAATGATGTTAACAACACTGTGAGGCAGTTAGCTGTCACACATACGAGTAAAAAAAGAGAAGGGCTTTAAATTATATATTTCGAGCTACATCGACAACTTTGAGGGTGAGTATTCTCTCATATCGTGCGAAATTCGACTAGCGAATCAGTTTACAAAATCGTTGTCTACGTTTCTGAGAAAATTAATTTTGTTAAAGTTTTTCCGCTATACACTTTGCCTGCAGAACGCGCTATGCTGAAGTAAAGAAGCTGGCTGAGATCCTATCGGACATACGTCAGCAGGGTTAGTGCATAGAGCCTATTAAAAAAAAGGTAGCGCTTGTCTGAAGTTTAAAATCATTGGTTCCATAATCACATAACGTTTGTTTATGACGTGTGTTATTCGCCAGCTAAGCCGCATCGAACTTCCACTGTGAAAAAAATTGTAAAAACTATTAACAGCTCTTTTGAAATGTGTTACAGCCATCAAAATAAAATAAAAGTTGGTCAGTGCAAAACATTGGAAATATTTCCTTTGTACTTTTATCAGTTCAAAAAAGGTTAAAGAGAATGAACAAATCACAGATTATTTGATTTAAATAGCAATTTACAAAATGTTTCACAAAAATTCAACACAAAGTGCACACATCTAAAGGGCAGAAATGCTCCATGAGGGTGCTCAACCACAAGAAAACTTTTAACAAGGAGGGAAAAGTTTGCACACCACAGCACAAAAAATAGAATATGTATATGTATTTTAATATGTATTTTATGTTCTCACCACAGGAGACATTTCTAGAAAAAGTGGATGATGAAGACCAAGTTTGTTTGATGAAGGGAGTATGAAATAAATATTTTTCTATTTTTTCCAACGTTTACTTCCTATTTTACAGAACGTCCCAACTTTTCTGGAAATGGGGTTGCACATTTATTTATTTTTTTTTAATTTTATTTGATTTATTTATTTTATTATTGATAGAAATGGAGGAATTGATAGAAATTTATTTATTTTATTATTAATTTGGAAAAGCATTTTTACAACCTTAAAAATGAAAACATTGTAATATTTTTAAGGTCTGTAAAACAAAGACACCTATATGTTGGATGGAATATAACTCATGCATGGGACTTCATTCTGATGTTCCAATACTTTCTGTCTGGAAGCACTATTATACCCATGAATGGGAGGCTCTGTAAACATGTTGTCACGTTTTGTGGTTCACGCAGGTAGTAGATTAAAGGGGGTGCTAGTTTCCTTTTAGGGGTCTGAAACCAGGTTTATATCTAAATATAAAGAAAACCACAAAACCTCATTATTTGCATTTGTTCTCATCTCATGAATAATATAAGAGGAAACTTGATTAATCTTTCCTTCCATTAAGGAAAGAGCACAACGAACACATATTATCGTCAGCATCGTGGGTTGGTTTCAGTGTTCTTTGAGTTGGTTGCCATAGAGATCACAAAGTGCACTGCCTCTGACGTGCACCCAGTTTTAGGCTAGATTAAAAACAGGAAACATGAAGACTTACTAAACCAGTGTAAAGGCATTTCCCCCACATCATGTGTTTGAATGTATTATCTTGGGAGTCAGACAGTCAGAAAATGCTTTTAATGCACTATGCATGCAGGCCCTTTCTGATTAAGAATGGGTTTACTTTGAACAGCCTCTAGGAGCTGGCTTCCTCTCCCTCTCTCTCTTTCACTTTCTGCATCTGTTACCACCCCCCCCAATACTCAAACAGACACCTACAGGGGTCTCCTTTACTACCTCCCCTCAATGAGGAAACACCAGCTACTGTATGATACCACGAGAATCTCTACCAAACGCAACTATATGAAACCTTAACATGCAAATGACATCAACCACAAACGGTGCAAGGAGAAAATGGAAACTTCCTGTTTGGCTTGCAATCTGTTTCTCTGTTACACCGAAGGTTGAATTTCCCATACAAGCACGCCATAGTGCCAAAACTAAAAGCAGGTCTGCCATTTTTAATAGCACTTCCATTGCGTGACTTATAATACAACAGATGGAGATTTTTAGGACATCTGTGACCCTATTAAGTCTCTGTCTCTTCCATAGCACACGATCTGAAACACAGAGCATGTGCAAAGGTAAGATCTTGATTCTTGTGATAACTTTCAAAATGAAATAGTGGGTTACATAGACTATCATACAAGTTACATGCCATTCTTTTCTTAAGTCTTGTATAACGTATCTAATGTATTATGACTGATTTAGTTTTATTAAAACATTTTTTACTTGAATAAAAGGAGTTACTGCATGATTAACACTTTTTGTAGATTGTTTTTATTGAAAAAACCCTAATTTAGGATGGGATGGAATGTGACCTGAGACCAGTGTCCTTGGATTTATAACTGCAAGCAGCTTCAAGCAGAAAGGACTGCAATAGCAAATTAAAATATTAAAAACGAAAGTCTCCATTTTGATAGTCTCGGTTAATAGAAAAAAGTGTGCATATTTTAAGTAGAAATTATGCAATGTTAAGTCACAATAACAAGATACCAGAAAATATTTTGTTTACACCCTGGCAAAAGTTTGTGTGGGCTTACGAGAATGCCCTTATGGTAGTCAAATATAAACAAATAAATAATCATATTTAAGAAGAATCATAAGAGGTTTTGTGGAGTCCATATGAAGAGTTCAGATGCAAAAGCCTCTAAATGCCATTTGAAATTTTCTTCTAAAATGACCATTTTTATCAAGCTTGTATATTTAAGTTCAGTAATTTCACTTAAATGACAATTAATAGGTAATCTTCATTGCCATTTAAGTGAAATTACTGAACTTAAATATACAAGCTTGATAAAAATGATCGTTTTAGAAGAAAATTTAAAATGGCACTTAGAGGCTTTTGCCTCTGAACTCTTCATATATATAGCCTCAAGTGCCATCTTAAAATTTCTTCTAGAATGATAATTTTTATCAAACATGTATGTTTGTGTTCAGTTATTTAACTTTAATGGCAATGACAATTTCCCATTAACTGATATTAAAATTAAATTACTGAACTTCATAAAATGAAGATACTGAACTGAAATATAATGCTCATTTTAGAAGAAAATGTCAGTTGGCACTTAAAGGCACACACATGCACACACACACACACATATATATATATATATATATAAAAAACCTTTACATGCATAATGTTTATAACCTGTAAATGAACACTATATCATTTTTATAAGTGGCAAAGACATTTTAAATCTTGGTGCTTTACCTGTTGCTCGGTATCTTCGTCCTCACCGATTTTTCAATATATCTATAATATTCTTTTTTTGTGATGATGAACAATAAATAATGTTCTACTCTGCTACTATGTTGCTACAATCTGCAGATGAAGTGCGGTTAAGTGCACTTATAAAGATTTTCTACAACAATATATAGAAGACAAGTGATTTGAATTAAGTCTTATTTATATAATAAATAAAAAATGTTTGGAAAAACAAATATAGTTAGTTATATATGTGCAAATTAAATTTTACATTTAAATTTTTCGTTTTCTGTCTTACATGTCAGTCACACTGAAATCTAAATTTCTTAAAAATCAAAATACAATCTAACTGATTGAGTGAGGATTGGATAAATGAAATAGTATGCAGACAGACTCATTTACAGTACCATCAGTTTTACTACAAACATTACATTTGTGAGGCCACAAAGTACAATTGAACACATTATACAGTTCACACTTACAAAAGGGGAAAAAAATTCATGTTGTATTACAAAACACTTCTGCTGCTATTGAGGTGGGATATGGGTAAGGATAAGCACAGGTTTGGTGGTATAGTTAGGTCCAAGGGTGGGTTAAGAAGTAAGGGAAGGGTCAACAGTGTAATCAGATGCAAATTGATTACAGCTGTAATTACATGCAGGTATTTAAACAATAGAATGTGAAACATGGATGTACAGAATAAATGGATCAAATAATTATATCAAATTTAAATGTAAGACACTCAATATAAAGTGAGACCTTGCAACAAATATACTATACATTTTACAACAAGCTGACATGTTTGGCATTGCCACTGACATTCTGACAAGAGAAATGCATTGCTGAGAGAATTAATGATTCTTCATGAAGATGATTCACTCTTTCCTTTTTTGTTTCCAAAGTGAGGTTCAAAGCAGTTAGTTCTCACAGAAACTGTCTCTATGACAACATTTCTCCACTGTTACAGGCAAAACTTGTGATGAAAGATTTTTCAAAGCAAGAAACCAGTCAAACGGTTCTTCGGGTTTGTTATTCTGGAATTTTGTGTACATTCATCATACATAAAGTTATTCAGACCACCACAAACTAAAAAGACAAAACTATAAATTAATGTTCTTATATCCATAGTTTTTATTTTTATTTATTTTTTTTAAAGAAGTGCATATCTTATTGGAATAGCAATGTAACTGTAAGATAGGATAGAGAGCATACGAGCGATCTTGAGAACAGAAGCCATCTTCTGCTGCAACGTATTTTGCAAAAGTGATTATGGAATCCACAAGTTACCCTGAAACAGGGGCGGACTGGGACCAAAAAGTGGCCCTGGACTTTCTGGCCCGCAGCAGCCCACCGTACGGTGATCGAGAAAGCCCAACGTGCTGCAACTGAAGCAAACACTTGCAAACAGAAAAAAACACCTGCAAATTAAAAAAACATCATCATCAGTTTCACAACACGTGTGCTCCAAATACAGAAATGCGCTGCCAATAACACAGACCGCAACGAAATGTTTCCAGGTAAACCAAATAGGCCTAAGTGACGAAGCGCTAAAATATGTGTGCATAGTGTCTCAACTTTAAAACTTTGGACCCTACATTACCTAATATTTCTTATGAAACTTTTCTTTATGAAAAAATTAAACATAACATGAAAGAATTTTTACAGTGTAATGGATTAAATATAAATATCTTTCCTTCATGTTCTTCTTCTCTATCTTTATTTATTTAGTTAAGTTTTCAGCTCATTGTTCTTTTCTCATTTGTATTCTGATGACATTGAACATATTGTTAATACATTTTGAATATTGTATACAAGTTGTATGTCATAAAAATGTAATCTCTGTACGTTTTGCAAAAATAAATAAATACATAAAGTAGAATTTTAAGCTGTAAGTGTTAGTCACTTATTTGGTTCCCCTGGAAAGATTTCCATTGTGGTCTATGTTATTTGCGCGTTTCTGTATTTGGGTGGTGTTGTGAGTATTTGGTGCACACGTGTGTTGTGAAATTGATGAAGATGTTTTCTTGCAGGTGTTTATTCTATGCGTTTTCATTCAGTTACAACGTGTTGAGCTTTCTCGGCCTCCGTACCATCACATCCCACATCATAACAAATTGGCTCATTAATGTGCAGAATATTTTTAACACCACTTATAGCATAAAAATATAACACAATACAAAACTATATGCTATTTAAACATTTATTTTAAATAACACAACACTAGTCAAGGGGAGCTAACTTTCGCCTTCAGAGCGTAGGGCCTACCTGTTGAACTACTACTCTTCGCGCCAAATGTATAATCTGTTAATTTGAAGCATTTCACACATAAATTTCACAGCTATCTCTAGCTAACAGTTGGCTTTCTCTCTGTGTTCAAATGGAGTTTTTTTTCCCGCGACACATGTGACGACGCGAGGGAGTTGGCTTTCATCTGCGCGCCGCGGCTGTCTGTGTTGTGTTTTTCCAGTACGTGAAAGGGGGCGTTTTTCAAGATACGCAACGGAGCAGACCAAACAAATTATCAGGAAGGGACAGTCACATTCATTCACACTAAACGCACACCTTGTCGGCCGCGTGATCGATTCCCTTATCCATTTGCGTAGAAATGAAATGCAATATTATAATTTCTGTCATTGTTTTATATATATATTTGATACTTGATATTTGTACCAGGCCGGCCCACATTGGCCAGCGGCCCACCGGGAAAAGTCCCGGTGCTATAGATGGCCAGTCCGCCCCTGCCCCGAAATATCTTCTTCAAGTATAAAATAAATTATGTAAATTAACTTCATGCCAAACCAATAAGAGATTTCAGGTTTTGACAAATGAAAGCTTGAATACTATGCATTAAGATGTTGTGAGATGTTAATGATGGAACTATGTGACTTTTGTCTTCTCTATACTGCAGGCAATCTCCCACCGGTTAAGCATGTGGCAGTGAACAGCAATGTCAATGTGCCCTGCCCTGTACTCAGTGCAACAGAAATGGACTTCAAATTATTTAAAGGCCCAGACATGGTCACCTCCATTTCTATCAAGATAAATGATACATCCAACAACATAAATTGCAAGAGCCCAGATTTCCCAGCCAATCTCAGTGTTAATGTTATGGATAACAGGACCAGTTTCATCCTGCTTGGTGTGACTACGAATTTTACAGACCTGTACACCTGTGAGGCCGAGATAAACTATCCTCCTCCATTTAAGAAAGTGCCATACACACCACAAACTATTGTGTTTGTTGAAGGTATATTTTTAATGGTTGTTAATGTAAAACAAGACTAAAACGATGAGCATTATCTAGACAAAAAAATTGCCAATATGACTTTATGTACAGTTTAAAGTCACATTTTGTTTTGCTCTTTTTGTGTGGGTTTGTCAACAGAGAGTCAAGTTAAAAGGTGTGATCTCTGTCAACACGAGATTCACCTGCTTTGGTGGGTCGTGTTTGGAGTCATGGCCATATATGGGCTGGTGATGACTTGCATCGTTTTCTTTTTGAGGGTAAATACTTATATTTATATTTACAAAAATGCTCATTCAATACATATTTTAGTACATGAAATCAGTCTATTACAGAGTAGAGTTGTCATCAATTTGGCTAAAAAATATCTCATGTAATCAACATAATATTGTATTATATTTAAATAATGGCATGCAGTTATAGGGCCTTGTTTTAATGATCTGAAATGCAAGTATCAAGCGTGAAGCGCAAGTAACTTTGTGGTCGGGTCTTGGGTGCTGTTGCTATTTTACTGGCGGGATAAATGACTCTTGCGCCCGACGCAAGTTTAAAAGGGGTTGGCCAAAAAAAGCCTCATTATTCATAGGTGGTTTGGGCACAGCGTGAAGTAAACCAATCAGAGCGTCATCCAACATACCCTTTAAAGCCACAATATTAGGGCTGTGAATCTTTGGGTAGACAGCGAATCGATTCGATTCACGATTCATAAGTTCTTCGATTCGATTCATGAACGATTTGTGCAAATTCAGAACGATTCGATTCGATGCGATTCACATCCAAATTCGATGCGATTCGATTAATTCGATTCGATTCTTAATTTTTTATATGCATTATAGTATTATTTCAATGCTTCACCCAATGGGTCTTTGTCTGGGTTTGAATTAGCCTACACAGCGGCCTTCGGGGGTCAGATAGTGGGGATTTTGTCCATTGTTAATGTTAGTTCATGTTTGTTTTTAATTTTAATGAATATATTATTATTAAAAAAAAATTCAATGGCCTACAAATTAGCATTTGCAAGTAGCAAATATTTTGAAAAAGGCTTTTAAAGTATTGCATTCAATGACTACATGCACAAATTAATGGAGACGTTTTCATTAGTTTCATTTTGCGTCCTCTCAGTGCACTCGTTATCATCTTTTCACTGGATTTTGCTCGCGCTCGGTCCCATAGCTCTCATGCTTTCATAACGTTAACTACAGATTTTTGAGCAGTCCATGTTTGAGCTCGATCTCCAGCTGAGCTCTCTGTCGAGAAAGCAATAGTTTTGAGGCAAACCGCTCAAGCCATTGATAAAGCTGCCATGCCATTGCGTGGGCACTATGAAATAAAACGCTTTTATTCATTTATTACATGGACTCTCCGTACACGCAAGGTGGTCTCTCGCTCGCTTTCCCTCTCTGCCGAGTGCGTGCAGCCGTGTGTGAACGCGCGATACGCGGTTTGGAGCACAACCTCTGTCTCGTATGCACGCTCGCTCTAGATTCCGGGAGATTTTAACTAATTTGCGGTAATACAAGCTGATCACGACATGAGTAGCTCAACAGGTAGAAAGATAAACTCATCTTTCAGGCATTTGACCGACCGGGCTTCAGCGTGAGAAATCAGGGGTGTGTGAGCGCCTGAAACCAATCAAATGCGGATGTCGTATGACGGCCAATGCGTGAGGCAGCTTGTACCAGGAACACTTTAAGGTTGTGTTTATATATTTTAAACCACTGAATCGCTATAAAATCGTGATTAATTCGATTCTTAGCCTTTTAAATCGATTATTCACGTAAATAAACGATTCACGATTCAAAATACATGTTTCAGGATCGATGCATATGCATCGCCAGGATTTATAATCGATGCATTGAGAAAACGAGTGAATCGTTACACCCCTACACAATATGTATTTTTTCTGCTTTAAAAATAGCAAAAATAACTGTATCTATGTTTTATATTTCTATTAGATGTGTACTTACATTATCCCGACAGTTTCCACCAACTTTAAAATACGGAGAAATTTATAGTTTAATTCGAAGACACGGGACGTTTCTTTATTTCCGTTTCGTCGCCCGGTCCATATAACCTTTGAATCTCCTCTATTTTCTCAAACTTCCTGCGGAACCCGGCGAAACCCACCAAACACAAAGGGGAACACTGGACTACCGCCAATAAAGCAAAGAAAATGACGAAGAAAAAAAAGTTGTACGTATTTTTATGTGTGTAAATCACGTGCCCGCTCACGAGCGCTCACTCTTAACAGACACACTGTACCCGGTGCTGCTCGCGCGTCACAGAATGTTCATAAAGCGCTCCCCGTTCACAGTAACCGGGTCGTCTCATTCAAATCAGCCAGCTGTTGCTGTCAGCAAGCTGCGCACATTGAATACTCATATGAGTCAGGCTGCGAATGTAAGTTACGTGCCCGCTCCAGCGCGCTCATGCTTACTAAATAAACGCCTCACCTCCGGCGCCGTGCACTCACTACATTCCCTTTAGCCTTAGCACATAGTGGATGCATAACGCAAACCCAGTCAAACGTTTGACTGCAGTATCTTATGCGCTTTATAATCCGGTGCGCCCTATATATGAAAAATGTTCTAAATAGGTCATTCATTGAAGGGGCGTAATACAAATATTTCTATTCGGCTGTATTATAGTTATGGACCACGATTACGCTTTGCCTGCACGTTCTGCTGCTACAGCCAGCTCAGTAAAGCTCAAACGTACGGGTGAAAAATATGACCCGAGAAGGGTTTGGGACAGGAGAAGCATGACACAAGTAAACATTGGGGTTGCATTTAAAGCTTCTTGACAAGCTAAATTTACAGAGAGATGCCGTATATTTTTTAAAACGATGATGTCATGTCATGAGCTGAGCTGGTTGTCATTGACAGCGACAACAACTCCCGTGAGCCCACGCTCTTTCCCGACGTCATCGAAGTACGTCTTTTGTTATTATTTTAAATGAGTGACCCCTGGTGGCCAAAAATTGCATACTGTACGTTTAAGAGCAGGTGCGCATGTTGCATGGTGGATTATTATTATTATGGCGAATTTACCAGGTGATTTCGCAGTCTTTAGATTTTTTGTTTCCTGGTTCTTGACGGACAAACTAACTTGTCAGATGTCCTTATGTGCCTTGCCACTATTGGGCAAACAAGTCTGATCAGGCATTACTACAATTAGCCTGAAAAATGTGGGTAAATGTGTAAGCTAGATTTAGGCCTAAATTTTTTTTACATCTTCATGGACACCAAAATGATTTCCCTCATTTGTTAATATTTTTCCTTGTTATAATGTATTATTTGCAAAAATAAAAACTGCTGTATCTGTGTTGATGAGAGAATCAAAGTGTATGTGCGTTGTGCACTTGCCACATTATGGCCAAGCATGCGCGCTTAAAATAGCATTATGAACAACGCACAACGCGCCACTGACTTTAGACTAGGTTTTTTGTGGACGGCGCAAAATAGGGCCCATAATGATTATAGATAATGCAAATCTTTTTACATTATAATTTGCTGACAAGAATTTATTTAATTTAAGGCCTGATTTAAACTTTGGCTATACAGTTCTTTGAAATGTTGACTAATTTATAATAGATGTTGCTGATATTGCTCTTGGTCAATAATTGTATTTTTTTATTCCTTTCTCATGCCTTCAAATCAGAACAAGTGCAGTCAAATTGATACTCCCTTCAAGGACAGAGAATGCAGACGGAAATGGCAGGGGGTTCAACATCCAACCTGGCAGGGTTTTTACATAGACACTGTAGTATGAGCCTGTCTGACAAAATTCCACGAGACCTGCCCAATTAGACCTGCCATCAAATCATACAGCCTTGTTTTAAAAAGGGCACATAGCATTGGTGACATCCTGAGAAAGATCCAACTACATTTGTTTTTTTATTCATTGTTTTATACTTTCATTTAACCTACTATTACATGTAGCTAAAATATTATTAGCCTTGCTGGCATGTCTGTGTTTTTTTTAAACATTTATTTCAAAATAAACATAATACACCAATCTCTTTTCCTGTATACACATATGTTTGCCTGTCTAAAAGGAGACCTACTATGGACTACTATGGAAACCTGAACCAGCTCCAACATTAAGACCACTGGCAGGTGAAGTGAATAACATTGATTATTGTTACAATGGCACCTGTCAAGGTTTGAGATATATTATGCATCAAGTGAGTTCAGTCAGTTCTTAAATTTCATGTGTTGGAAGCAAGGGGTGCGTCACAATTACCTCCCTACTTCAGTAGTCAGGGCACTGAGGGAGACAGCCCTTAAAATGGCTGATTTTATGGTATTTATTTGCAGAATCCTTCCAGGGCACTGAAACATTCGCTCCCTAAAAAGTCTCACGTTGCACTGTGAAAACCAGAGAACAGTGGGTTCTTCTCAATATCCCTCCCCGTCTCCTCGCTCCTCCATCCTCCCTCCAATGACCCGGAAACCAATCGAGCTCAGCCATCTTGAAGGACATCTCAATTCTCTAATTGCACTGTGAGGGGTCGAGGATCGAGGAGTGAGGAGACTTCCTGAGGAGTCATAAGCGAGGATACACAGGAGCATCCTATGCAGAAACGTTTTATTGACTAAACATGACGCACGTGTCAATTCTCCTCCCCCTTCACATTCATTTTAATTTATACTTTACTTTTGCAGTTTATATAAACCACACATCTCACATATTTCAACAGTGTAGTCTATCTTTATTATTATTTATTATGAATTTATTAAATAACCAAATTTCAACAACATAAGGGCAGATCCCTTTTTTTTTAGCACTGCTGATGACACAGTGGAGTGACGCCCGAGTGATCAAGTATTCAAATGTATCTAAAAAACTTTTATTCGATTCCTCCACCCTCTTTTCCTTTCCTCGCTTCCTTCCCTCACGTCCTACAGGGGGTGGAGCTGAGACGCGAGGAAAGGAAGCGAGGAAAGGAAACGAGGATGCACAAATAAGAATTGAGAAGCACCCATTCATCCTCATCATGTTCCCTTAACAAAAGCTCTGAAGCATGAAATTTTAATCACGTGACCAAACTCACTACGACAGGCGTAACTATCGGTAAGCAGGGTACGCGGTTGCTTACGGGCCCGTACCAATCAGGGGCCCGCGTGACTGGAAGATACTGATTGACAGCTGGGGCCCCCTATCGCATTACTACTTTTAGTCTAATTGGATTTTATCGCAAATTTATTTGTATAAATGATGACAACAACAATAATTTACTGATCATTAAATACATGTGTGAAACCAACAATGATGGATTTTGTTGTAATTTGTTTCAAATTGGGACTAGGGAATCCCCAGGTCGGTAAGTGAACGTGTATTGCATGCAAAACAGTAAAACAAATGTTGGACTTGAGACCGACATATTGATATGGAGTCGTCGTCAAATTACAAACACAAAAGTGGCTTTTAAAACAAAAATAGGAATTCGAGAAATTAATAAGTAAATTACCAAAAATAGGAAGCTTCTTTAAAAAGATAGCAAAGGGAGATCGAGATTGAGCAGGAGCAAGAGAGTGAAGCATGCACCTAAAGCGACCATTGGCATAGCAGTGAGTAACATTGTGTTAGGGTGCTCCGTCACCAGCAGTGTTTTATTAAGCAGACCTTAATATTTGGTACAGAAACCTTTGTTTGCAATTACAGAGATCATATGTTTCCTATAGTTCTTGAGCAGGTTTTCACACCCTGCAGCAGGGATTTTGGCCCCCTTCTCCATACAGACCTTCTCCAGATCCTTCAGATTTTCGGGGCTGTCGCTGGGCAATACGGACTTTCAGCTCCCTCCAAAGATTTTCTATTGGGTACAGGTCTGGAGACTGGCTAGGCCACTCCAGGGCCTTGAGATGCTTCTTACTTCTTCTTAGGCCACTCCTTAGTTGCCCTGGGTGTGTGTTTTGGGTCATTGTCATGCTGGAAGACCCAGCCACGACCCATCTTCAATGCTTTTACTCAGGGAAGGAGATCCAAGATCGGAAGTTGGCCAAAATCTCGCGATGGTAAGGCCCCATCCATCCTCCCCTCAATACGGTGCAGTCGTCCTGTCCCCTTTGCAGAAAAGCATCCCCAAAGAATAATGTTTCTACCTCCATGCTTCACGGTTGGGATGGTGTTCTTGGGGTTGTACTCTTCCTTTTTCTTCCTCCAAACACAGTGAGTGGGAGTTTAGACCAAAAAGCTCTATTTTTGTCTCATCAGACCACATAAACTTCGCCCATTCCTCATCTGGATCATCCAGATGGTCATTGGCAAACTTCAGACGGGCCTGGACATGCGCTGGCTTGAGCAGGGGACCTTGCTTGCACTCCAGGATTTTAATTCATGGTGGTGTAGAGTGTTACTAATGGTTCTCTTTGAGACTGTGGTCCTAGCTTTCTTCAGGTCATTGACCATGTCCTGCCATGTAGCTCTGGGCTGATCCCTCACATTCCTCATGATCATTGATGCCCCACGAGGTGAGATTCTCCTTGACTGTTGCCTTCTCACCAAGCTGCTTGCCTATTGTCCTGTTGCCCATCCCAGCATTGTGCAAGTCTACAATTTTATCCCTGATGTCTTTACACAGCTCTCTGGTCTTGGCCATTGTGGAGAGTTTGGAGTCTGTTTGATTGAGTGTGTAGATAGGTGTGTTTTATACAGGTTACGGGTTTAAACAGGTGCAGTTAATACAGGTAATGAGTGGAGAACAGGAAGGCTTCTTAAAGAGAAACTAACAGGTCCGTGATAGCCGGAATTCCAACTCGTTCTCATCCTAAGGCGTCATAGTGACGCTTTTGAAATTTCGTCTAAATCCAATGCACATGGCACCCTTTAGCATCAATATAACACGCACAGAGCTGTGATCGATTATGGGTAGTTCTGGGGTAGGTTTAGGGTTACACCACTAGGAGGCGCCTTCTGGCCCATATATATCTGCGTCCCATATACCCCTTTTTCCACCAAGGCAGAGCTGGTGCTGGTTCGGAGCCAGAGCCTAGTTTCAAATCGGTTATTTGTTTTTCGACCACCAAAGTAAAACCAGTAAAAGTGGTTCTTAAGTAGCACCAAATCATTGCTGGTCTAGAAGAAAGAACCGCTTACGTCAGCGGCTGGGGGTGGGGTTACCGTGACCAACAAGATGAACAGAAACTTGTGACCGCCATTTTTTAAATAGCAGCTAATAATGCAAATAGCAGCTTGATTGTAATCTCCGTTAATGCAAGTTACGGCGAGCTGCACGAATGTGCTGGATTCGCCGTGTTTGGATACCGATGTAGGTTTGCAAAGCCATGAGCATAAATAGTAACGCAACGACCGGCATTGTTTATTGAAGGCTTGTTCAAGATGCATCGGAGCGCCGTGGACTGATCAGAGCTGCCGGAGTGTTTTGACCGCATAACGTTACGACTCCTTCTGCTTTTGGATCGCTCTCGGAGTTCGAGATTCGCAGTGCTGATCCATCTCGAACAAGCCTGGTGTGTTTGTGTGTTCCGTGCTAGCTAGCTGGGCAACATGAGATGTATACAGTAACGTAAGATCTGGCTCTGGGATTGCGCTCTAGCCTGTGGAAAGACAAACCGGTTCTTTGAAAGCTCGTCAGTCGAACCAACTCCGAACTGGCACTAGCTCTAGCTCTGAACCAGCACCTGGTTCTTGTTGGTGGAAAAGGGGTAATATTGACGCTAAAGGGTGCATTGTGCGTTGGATGAAGACAAAATGTCAAAAGCGTCAGTATATGATGCCTTGGGATGAGAAAGGGCTGTGAATTCTTACTGGTTGGTAGGTGATCAAATACTTATGTCATGCAATAAAATGCAAATTAATTACTTACAAATCATACAATATGATTTTCTGGATTTTTGTTTTAGATTCTGTCACTCACAGTTGAAGAGTACCTATGATAAAAATCACAGACATCTACATGCTTCGTCAGTGTATCAAATTCTTGTACTCCCCACTGTATACACTGGCCCTCATTTATCAAAAGTGCGTACACCAAATTTCCAGCGTACACCTGGCGTACACCCAAAACCATGGTGAGATTTATCAATATGGACGTTGGCGTACGGCACGCTCAAATCCTACACCAGCTCAGGAGGTGATCATTAATACAAACCATAATATTGTCATGTAATTGTCATGTAATTATTAATGTGAATGAATGGTACATAACATCATCCTCATCACCACTATTATACATGTAAAGTGATTCAAAATTGAATGCTAATTCAAAAGACGTTCTGTAAATGTCTCTTCTTTTGCCGTCTGCTGTGTGTCCATTGCGTAAAATGAGGGCGTGGGGGGAGCGGACAGAGCGGAGACTTGAATATTTAGGGGCGTGTTGTTCTAATGACGATCGTTTTCAGCCGCGGGATTTATCAAGGGCAGTTATGGATTTCAAAGGTACGCACAGCTTCATAAATCAGGCGGTGAGAGGAGTGTAAGCATAATCTTACGCCAACATATGCGCCCGTTTCTTCGCAAGAATGATAAATGAGGGCCATTGTTCCAAATTATAATGCAAGTGACATATCAGACGGATTTTAGTACAACACACGTTCACATTTTAGTTTTTCAAAGAAAGTGTTTGTATTATTTCTCAGACATTTTTAGATTACTAATATCAATCTCAGACAGGTTTGTTAGTTTGAAAGGTACTTACTTAAAGAGGTTATTGCACATTAAGGAAGTCACAGTTCATGCAACATGGGGAGGGAAGTAAGACTCAAAAAACTTAAATAAAAAACTGTCATACTCAAAAACTGGCACACATATGACACACACACACACACACACACTGTAATGGCCACCTAAAGTTAAGAAGTGTTGGTGACATGTTAATACGCCTTTAAGATAGCTACGTCTATTGCGTACATTATTGTATGCGTGCTGTTATAATGTGAGCGCGCACGCATGCTCAGTAGAGTGAATATGTTTGCGAAGAGAGATGACCGCTCTATCGCTGGCTGTTATTTTGTTGTAT